CACACACACACACGGTGTCCTGACACACACACACACATGGTGTCCTGACACACACACACACATGGTGTCCTGACACACATCACGGTGCATCAACAGAGCACACACACTGAAACTTCAATATGAAGAAACATGATGTCACTTCCTCTTTCTTTTCAAAATAAAGAAGGTGAAAATGTCCGTCAGATAAATGATGAAGAAAGTCCTTCTTCTTCTTCTTCTTCTTCTTCTTCTTCTTCTTCTTCTTCTTCTTCTTCTTCTTCTTCTTCTTCTTCTTCTTCTACCATGGCCTCCACACGGCGCCGTGCGGGCCTGTCAGCTGCTTCTCTGCAGCCTGGATGTGTCCGTGGGAGGAGCTGATGTCCCGGCCGTCTCTGTGGACGAGGTGAGGCAGCGTGGCGTCCTTCAGGGAGTCTTTGGACAGGAAGGCGAGCGTCTCCTTCCAGCAGCGGGAGTAGCCGTGGCTCTGCGGGCTCTGAGGCTGCAGCTGCTGCTTCAGGAACGCCACGGTCATCTCCAGCACGTCGGCCTTCTCCAGCTTGGCGTTGGGATCTTGTTTGTGGAACTCCTTCTCCAGCAGCACCTTGAGCTGCTCGATGCAGCTGTTGATGCGATCTCTGCGCATCTTCTCCACCACAGGTTTCCTCATCTGGAGAAGAAAAGAGGGAGCCGGTCAGAGACACGTTCAGGGACGTGACAGAGAAACAGGAGAGCAGAGACTCAGAGGAGGAGGACTTACTTTGTGTCTGTCTTTGGAGGAGTGCAGGGAGAGTGCAGAGTGTGTGGACGAGCAGGGAGCCATGGAGGAGCAGAGAGGAGCTTCTGTGGAGAGCACAGTGAGCCCCCTCCTCTATTTATAGGAACACATTAGCATCACAAAGCCATGAGGCCCAGGCAACATTAGCTTTCCCACACTCTGAGGCAACAATAGACACACTCTCTCTCTCTCTCTCTTTTATTACCTGGGAACCTTCCTGCTGCAGATGTGCTCCTGACACTAAACACATAAAGATAAGATCTCTGACTGCAGCTCACTTTATCTGCTCCACACACACTCAGCTCACAGCTGCACCCACAGCAATAAAAACACAATTATTAATAAAGAAAGAAACTTCTATTTGTTATCAAATCTGCAGATTTTATCCCTGAACCTGTCGGACAGAGGAAACAGAAAACACAGCGTCGACTTCTCTTTGATTTAAAGAAAGAAACGTTGAGGAATAATTTATATAAAAGATCACATTTTTAAAAAGATTCATCAAAATATTTTTTATATATTAACAGAAACATGAACACAGAGCAGAGGAGGAAGTGTTATTAAGGTCACCTCTTGTTTAAAATGAGTAAAGATTGTCTCTCTGACACAAAAACAAATCTGCAGCTTGAAATGTTTCATCTCAAAGTCAGATTCAGTCATGCTTCATAATCCAAGTCGTGCAACAGATGTTTTTATTTTGCACATTTCACAAACATGAATTGATTTGATAATTATTGAAACATTTGAACATGAAGAAGCTCCTGAAACATGAATCAGAGGAGCTGCAGAGAGTCGTTGAGAATTGGAGGGAAAACTTGTGACTGTCACTTAAAGGCCATTACCCAGAGTCCTCTGGGAGGGCACACTTCTATTGTGTGACACCTCCCCCCCTCTTTAAGCTGAGTGTGTAATAAATGGGACTGAGAGTGTGGGAAAGGAGGCTGGGATCCTGCTCACACACATCCTCCAGTCAATAGATGCCCCCCCCCCCCCCCCCATGCCCCCCCTCCTTTCAACCTGTGGGATCAGATCAGAGGCTCTTCTGAGCCGGGGGCCACGTGTGCACCGTCTCTCTGAGCCTTCCCGCCTTCGTTCACATCAACCAAACCCCTCATGAGAGATCAGTGTGTTTCTACTCACCTACTGATTACTGCACCCCCCCCCCCCCCCCCCTCTCCTCCACAGTGGCCGCTCCGGGAGCAGTTCACTAACACTTTACGCTTTAATACTTTAATGATGTGTGTGCAGGGCATCATTTGGCCCCTCACTCTGGTTCTTAGGACCTTTCTTGTTGTTGTTTTTTTCCCTGTCAGGTCATTTTAAAGCTGCTGAACTAAACTCCTCAAAAAATGCTATCCCATTCTGAAATGTGACCAGGCTGGTGACCAGCATGAGGAGGAGGGGCCAAGCTGTTGTGGCCTCGTATGGATCATCCACACGCTACTGAGGTCCCTGACAGTGTCAAATGTCAGTCGAGGTGTAAAAAGCTTATTACTGTAGGAGAGTGCGATCATCAATTCCTCCAAACAACTCAAAACAGGAGGAGGAGGAGGAGGAGGAGGAGGAGGAGGAGTGAACACCAACAGAAGAATATTACAGGGGATTTTGGCACATTTTTTTAGAGCGCTACCCACACGTTTAGCTGTGTTGCTCATTCCATGAATGCACGATCCTTACAAGTTATACCTCGATGTAAAGGTGACTAATCAGGCTTTCCAACTTTATAAAATACAACACCAATTAGTTTTATTAAAGGGGCGAAATAAGTGAACAAAATAATGTTTCCAAACTGTTTTTTGAGGAATTTATATTGCTGTATTTTCCGTCTGGCAACGCTGAGTGAGCATAGCAGGAAATATTCAGGAGAATTCCCAGCAGGCATGTTGGAGGGGGTTGATGTTTATGTCCTGCAGCTGCTTTACAACAACACACTAATGTTCACAGCCTGCTTCATTATGTTGTGATACAGTGAATGTGTTGACCTGCACGTGGCCTTGCTATACTTGGATGTGAAGGCAGAAAGTGACACTTCAGCGACAGACTCTGTTGATCGGTGATTCTCTTTACGTCATGTCTCGTCTGCTGAGACGTCGGTCAGCGATGGCCTCCCGCTCTGTGTGAACAAGCGAGTCAAAATGAATTCACAATCTGAAGCTTTCTACAAACATCCAGGAGTTTCTACATGTATGTGAAAAAGGAGTGAGCTGCACGTGTAAACACAGAAATTAGGACTTCTTCCTGCACCGGTAAATACTGAATGTGGGACAATTTAACAAGAGCCAATCAGCAACCTCCAGTGTTGAAACATGAAGCCGATGCTGAAGTGTAAAACCTGCAGTTCCTGGAGTGTCCACTAGAGGCTGGCTGCAGAAGCACAGGAAGTCACATACACACCCATTCTAAAAAGCCTGTTTTTACAGCAGAGATGAACATGTTTACAGCCTGGTTCAAAAAACCAAATAGGTGTGATTAGCTCATGTCTGGATGGACACACACTGTACGGGGGGTGAATGTTTTGATGACTCATCAGTTTTGATTTGATGAAGGATAAGAGTTATTAATGGACGTCACTGTTTGAACAGAGAAGTTAGGAAGGTTTCAGGGGCAGCCTGAAATCTGTTCGAGGTACTAACGGAGGCGTTACGGTGGGCGATGTGTGATGGAGCTGGCAGCAGGATCTCTGTGTGTGTGTGAAGAAGTGACACGTTGTGTTTTCATTCACTGAGAGGTGAGGACATCTGAAGCAGAAATCTCCTCATCTTTTTCTTCTTCTGTGGTCCTCCTGCTGCGTTTCTGACCGATGAGCAATGACAGAAAACATTCCAGCACATACCCCCCCCCTCCACACAAGCACACGACCAACAACACGTCTCCATGAGTGTGTGTGTGTGTGTGTGTGTGTGTCACTAAGGAATGTGTGAGAGCGGCGTGCTGCTCCTCGTTCCCACACTTCAGGGTCAGATCACCCTGCGGCGACCACCACTGATCCTGCAGCCCCCCCCCCCCCTTTATGCTCTGGACTCAATGGGCCATCTGGACAGCTACTGGAGAGCCAACACACACACATACACACACACACACACACACACACACACACACACACAGCACTTGAGTTGTCAGTAAACTTTTTTAGAGATTCCATCAGTGTGACTTCTGGACTCCTCAGGGTATCTCTGATCTCACTGTGGAGTTTAAGCGCCAAAGATTCTCAAACAATATTTCAATAACGAATCTAAGAAATAAATATTTATCTTTAATTCATTAACTTTTCTCTCCTGATTGAAAAACATTTGATTCAATGCAAAAACTGTGTTAAAACAGAATAAAAGGTACAAGACTGTGTACATGTGTTTCTTCTGTAGTCAGGGAACTACATATCCCACAAAGCATTAGGAATGATCACTCTTCTTCTTAAAGTCTTTCTGTGTGATGTTTCACCCTTAAATATAAATCAAGTCTATCCTCTGAAAATAACTCTGAGAGTCATGACTGTCTACAATGGGTGTAACACCCGAGTCCCACTGTCTGTGATGTTTTCAGAGTTTTCAGAGTCCTATCTTCACTTTGTTTACATCGCCTGGACAGCCGGCTGACTCCTCCCCTCGTGTATAAAAGTTGTTTAATTGAGGGACTAGAGAAAAGAAGAATAACATACTGTACTCACTGCTTAACTGTGTTTCTAGATCACGCTCATTTCAGGTAAATTTACATGCAGTGTGAAGATACCAGCAGAATAAAGATCGCTAGCATTAGCATGCTAACACAGCAATGCAGCGTGAGTTGTTTTGGTTTCATGCTGGTGTGTCTAGTTTGTGTTGTTGAATATAAATTACACTCACTGCAGCATGAAAAGGACGGGGAACATTGCCAACAGCGAGATCGACCAATCACAGACGTCGCTGTGACACTCTGTGATCCGGGGTAGTGTCGTTCTTTTCCCCGATATCGAGATTAAACCGCGTAGTTCTTAAAGGTCGATATCAGACAAACTTTTCCTCCAGGAACATAAACCATCGTTTCACACTCAGGTAGCTCGTGGTCAGTCTACCTGTGATGGTTATGACATCATAGATAATTATCAAATCTGTTATGAGGAAAATGTCGTCTGGGTTTAAACTCTAAACTTGACTTCAGATTTCAGTGCTCAAGTTTTTTGGCGGGAGTTTGGCGCCAGCAGAGCAAACACGGCGTCAGACTGAGGACGGTCCAGCTGCTCCTCAGAGGACAAAGACCTCAAACCACTGGGAAGTGTGCGTCCCAGTTTCCCCCCAGCTCTCCCAGTATATGGCCTGTAAGTGCAGCCGTATGGTAATAAGCAGCTTAACATTTCCATGAGAATGTGGCACAAAGTGATCGACTGTTGAATCTCTGTTGATCTGCTGATCGAGCGGTGGGAACGGTATTTGAAGCATGCGGCGTGCAGCACACTTACTATTGTTGCTCCTCCTCTCACGCAGCACGACAACAATGACGCATTCCTCTCCTTTCTCTGCACGCTCTGCGGAGGGGCGGAGCCTCGGCCTGCTGTCAGTCACAGTAAGTGGACCTGCTCTGCTCCAACTTAAAAAAACATTCCTAACAACTTTGTTCACTTGTTCACTTAACTTTGTAAATGAGCGTCACGTGGCTGCATCAATAACTGACATTTTAACCAGAGAATAAGCAAGAAGACCCGAGAACAAGGGTTTCATATTCATGGTGTGATCTTTTCATCTTCCTGCTTTTCTCTTCTCTTTTCTGTTTCTCTTACTGCCTTCATGCATAAAGACGTCAGTCATCCAAAATACATCTCAAACAGGAAGCAGCAAGAAACAAACTGAGGGCCTGATTGACTCTCCAAACACTGTGTGTCATTGGCTCCCTCCATCTGCTCCGTCTTAACGTCTGATTCACAAAGTGGAGTTGTTCAGGCGCCCTAAATGTGGAGAGAAGCGATCTACACCTCTCATGCTGACGGAGCTCAGGTAACTTTCAGCTGCTGTCCCGTGTTGACATTCAAAGATGCAGCAGTGTCTTTCTTTAACATCACTGTGACAGGGAGACGCTGAAGACGCGTATCTATGGTGTACCTGAAGGGACAAAATAGCAAGAGATTAATTGAGATTTAAAAAAATCTCTATTAATCTCAATTTCAGACTTTAACTCGTTAATGCTGACAGCCCTCGTTATTAAATGATGTTCTTCATGCTGTATCTGATGCTCAGTCTGTCGGGACTTGGGTTGGGAACCAGAGGGTCACCGGTTCAAGTCCAGGTGCGGACCATTATATGGAAGTTGGTCTGGTAGCTGAAGAGGTGCCAGGGCACTTCCCAGCACTGCCAAGATGCCCTTGAGCAAGTCTCCTAACCCCCAACCGCTCTGGTGCGCTCCCTGTGCAGCAGCCCCACTCTGACATCTCTCCACTGAGGCACGTCCACAGGTCTGTTTGTTCATGTGTGTCTCTACATAACAACGTGTAAACACAGAGTTTCACCCTCAGGGGTTAATATAGTTTATCAAAAATACAAAATAAATATTCTTATTTACCTGGTTTGTTTTGTTGTTCCTGACTTCTCTTCTTCACTTTTATTTTTTATTTTATGTAATTGTTTGTAATTCTGTGCTGTGTTTAAATTTCTACTTTGAAATCAAGTTTATTACAAAACAGATCCTTCATCTCGACACACACCTACTGCTACAATCCAGCAGGTGGCAGTAATGCAACAACAATGAGAGCAACTCATCCGGGTACTTTGCCCAAACGATGCCGGCCCCGCCCCTTTGCTGGCGGAAACATTCCATGTGAATCTGAACCGGATGTATTGGCGGCAGAGAAGAAGAAGAAGAAGAAGACGAACACACTTACGGTAAATCTTTCTTAGATTATAATTAATAGGAGGGAGGAATAAAACAAATGTCAAATTCTAACAAAGTTCTGATTTATAAATAATAAAATATTTAACTTCAGTTACATGTGACGAGCAAACGGAACACTCGAAGCTGTAGTGACCGAACCTCGATGAAGTTTTAAAATGTATCCTAAAAGTCGTCCTACCCGGGTCAAGAACTTACCAACGGAACATTGGTTAAGAAGAGCAACACTTATTTTGAACCACAGTGTTGTAGACTGTGAACTACTGCCTAATGTTCATGAGAAAGAGTCGGTGTTAGGGTTTGTCACCAGTTAACACGGTTACTATTCACACCGTAACACCCTCCTTCTACTTAGAGTCGTGTTTATGCACGGCGGGTGTTCTGTCGACTTTTGCTGCTTTGTTGAAAAGAGGTCCCGTGGCGCGAAACGATAAAAGAGGAGCATCTCAACCGATTCCAAATACGAAAATGGTCTTCTGGTATCATAACAACGGACTAGCGCCCCCTGCTGGCATGAAGAGTTAACTGGCTTTCTCTCTGATTTCAGTGCTGATAAAATGACCTGCCCGTTCTCTGTGTTCATTAAGATTCACTCTGCTCTTCACTCACTTTTCCAAGGTAGAAGAGGAAACTATATTTTTTCAAGCTGGTGAAAAGATTACGAACAACAAAATGATTCAATGACTTCATCCTGGAGTAAAACCAGGTTGTAGCTCGCTTGGTTTTTAAAAGCGATGTGAAACTGAGCAGTTACTGACCGGGGGAATCTGTGCATAAGTTTTTACATTTACAGAAGTACAAAGTGTTCTAACATGCTGTCTTCTTTGTTTTAAGCTTCACTCAGAGGGGGAAAAATGGCGCCCAGATCAGAGGAGGATCTCTGCTGCCCGGTCTGTCACGACGTCTTTAAGAATCCCGTTGTCCTGACGTGCAGCCACAGCCTCTGTAAAGACTGTCTGCAGAGCTGGTGGAGACAGACACAGACACTTCAGTGTCCAGTTTGTAAGACGATCACTTCAAACAAAACTCCTCCTTGTAACCTGGTCTTAAAGAACCTGTGTGAGTCCTTCTTACTGGAGCGAGATCAGAGAGTTTCAGAGAACTTCTGCGTTCTGCACTCTGAGAAACTCAAACTGTTCTGTCTGGACCATCAGGAGCCGGTGTGTCTCATCTGCAGAGATTCAGAAAAACACACCGACCACAGATTCAGACCCATCGATGAAGCTGCTCGACAACCCAAGAAGAACCTTCAGGAAACTCTGGAGCCCTTAAAGGAGAAGCTGAAGAGGTTAGAACAAGTCAAAGAGAAGTTTGATCAGACCATAGATCACATTTATTCTCAGGCACATCACTCAGAGACACAGATCATAGAGCAGTTCGCTCGGATTCGGCAGTTTCTCGAGGAGGAGGAGGAGGCCAGGCTGGTGGCCGTGTCCGAGGAACATGATCAGAAAAGTGACAGGATAAACGAGGAGATGGAGGCTCTGAGCAGAGAGATAGAAGCTCTGTCAGAGACCATCAGAGCCACAGAGGACGAGCTGAGAGCCGACGACGTCTCGTTCCTCAGAAACTACAAGGCTGCAGTGGAAAGAGTCCAGCAGCGCCCCCTGCTGGAGGATCCACAGCTGCCCCCAGAAGCTCTGATGGATTTGGCCAAACACGAGGGCAACCTGCTCTTCATCATCTGGAACAAGATGAAGGACATGGTCTCCTACTGTCCTGTGATTCTGGACCCAAACACTTCAGGAAATTCTCTCATCCTGACGGAGGATCTGACCGCCATGAGAGAAGCAGAGGAGCAGCAGCTTCCTAAAAACACAGAGCGGTTTGAACGTCCCTGCTCTGTCCTGGGCTCCGAGGGCTTCGACTCAGGGACTCACAGCTGGGACGTCCAGGTTGGAGACAGTACAGACTGGGGTACGGGTGTTTTTGCAAAGTCTGCCCAGAGGACACAAAACACACAGAATGGATTATGGGTAATAGAGTTCCATAAGGGTAAATATTTAGCGCATTCACCGTCGGCTTCAACAATTCCTCTCAAAGCGGAGAAGCCGCTCCGGAGGATCAGAGTGAACCTGGACTGTGACAGAGGAGAGCTGACGTTCTCTGATCCTGATACTAACACACACATACACACCTTCACACACACCTTCACTGAGACGATGTTTCCATACATGGCGTCTGTGACTAATCTGAAGATATCACCGCTGCAGGTCTGTGTGACACAACAACAGGTCTGATTTAAAAACCAGATCAATAAGACGGCAAGAGTTAAAGATCCAGTCAGTGAGCTGTGTAGAGAGTGAGATGATAAAGGTATCTTACTCTCTGATCATTAAGGAAACATGCTATGTTGAAGTGCTGGCTTCTCTGACAACAATGCAGCAGCCAGTATGTCCTCCTTCTAACTTTAGATTCTGCTCCTGAATGCTCTGGATTTGTTTGGACCAGAGAAGGTAGGCGCTTTTAAGACACCCCCCCACACGGCTGTTTTGGACGCCCCTCAGTTTGTCAGATATGAGAGCAGTTATCAGGTCAACAGGTGTTGCAGTGATGGAAGCGGTCAAGAGAAGTGGTTCAGATAGAAGTGATTGTACCCGACCTAAAAAGCCTCTGCATGTTTCTAATAAGCTCCACGAGCAGAAACGTGCTCAAACTAGGATCAATATTGGAGATGCTTTTGAAAAATGGAGAGAGGTTAGAACACAGAAAGGTTTACAGACCCATGCAGAGCTGGATAAACACTGAAGCTTCAGAGTCCACCACATGGTGACCTGAGTGACTCTAGAGAGGAGGGGGGGGGGGGGAGACAGCTCTCTAATGGTTTTAATCCAGACTGCAGTACCCATTTTAAACACTAGGGGTCAGAGTTACATACTGCTCCTTTAAGACAGTATCTTATGTCTGCAGCCTGTAAAGTTTATGTTGTGTCACCTAACACTAATGCAAACTTTATTTTTATATTTCTGACCATTAGAGTCTTATGAAGAGATGAAACAGGTTAAAACGGTCTCCCTGTGTGATGACCTCTGTTGCAGATTTTCGCTCTGTGGCGTTTGACCTCCTACCAGCTACAGTGTGGAAGTCGAGCTCTCAGACCACATTGATAGTTGTGTGTTGAGTACAGCTCTCACTTCGTCTTTACCGCCTGAAGCTGAAGAAATGTTCGCTGAGGGTTCAACTTCTACTTAAAGGGATACTTCACCTGTTTGCATTAAGCTTTGTGTCATTAGAAACCTGGTAGTATTTTTGAATGGTCGTGCATCCCGTGTTCGGAGAATACTGAGGGTTCAGCTTCTACTTGAGTAGAAGACATTTTGATTGGGTAGTCGGGCATTAAAAGTCCAGAAATCAAACCAGATAAATGGAGTCTGTTTTTTATCAACATAATCGACCTGTATGATACGAAGAAGTGTCCGATGTGATGACTCTGTTCTCTAAGAAATATTAAAGAGTTCATTTCAACCATAAGTCTGTTCTTCATTTTTTCTGTAACGCGTCCCTCCTAATGTTCAAGTGACCGGTCTCAAGACCACTTTTTGAGGGTCTCCGTCTCAGAATCTAAAGCATTTTTACTCTGCCTCAGACTGGGCGGACTCCGGGTTTTAAACCACCACTGATCAGCTAGTGACACGCCCCCTAAACACAAGATAAAGTGACAAAATAAAGCAATAAATATAATTAAATATGTTTAAAAACAGATACAAATATGTAATTATGAGAGTATTAAGATCTAGGATTGCTTTGAGGACACTAGGTCACATAAGATGTAAGGTAAAGAACAAAAATGAATAATGATCAATAATTATTATTAATAATAATAATAATAATTAAAATAAACACATACACATTACTGAGGTGCGTCCAATATTTCCAAATGAATATTTAAAGATACGTTTGATTTATAGACACCAGGTCACATGACATAAAGGGTCTTTAAAAAATATGAATAATTAACTATTTATGTTTAAAAACAAACTGACGTCATGACGTGAGGTGAGTCGCTTTTATTGTTGTATTTATCTAAAAAGTGGACGTGGCCCATTCAGTTGCCTTGAGAGTCACTTTTATAACAGACAACTGTCCCGCAATAATTTACTTCAGAATAAAAGCATTGTGTACAAAACGAGGAGACTTTCTCTGCAGTAATGCTTTTACTTTGAAAAAATTCCACCGGAACTGTTCCCATGTCTTTCGTTTTCATGCCTGTTACAGAGTTTACAGCCATAGAAGAAGAAGGTCAGTATAACTCTCTGCTCTTCTTTGACTGTTTGCTCTGCGTGTGGCGGAGGACCGGAGACCTGCTGAAAGCTTTGCCCGGTCTACCTGCTGCTCGTCGGTGTGCAGGGAGCTGACATGTAGCCAATCAGAGACGAGCTGAGGTGCACTTTGAGGAAACTTTACGCCTCACCTGACACGCCTCTAACAAAACAGGAAGTAGTTTCTGTCCTCACTAAAGAACGAACAACAGACAGGAAAAAACTTTCACAAAAAGTGTGAGTTCAGATAACGTTCCTTCTACCTGCTGACTCTTCAGGTGAGTTTCACTTAAACAGAACTCCAAGTGAAAGTAATGGATGTAGTGAAAGACTGAACGTATGTTGTCTGTATCATCATGCAGAAGCTAAGGAGGCATCTAAAGCTTGGGTTCAGGAAGGCCGACCCACACAGTCCTGGATTATAACAAGCTTTCTCTTTCAACATATAAATATGCAGTTCGTTATATATCCAAAAATGAACAAGTGATGAGAGCAGACTCTACGGCTGAAAAGCTGCTAAATAAGAATGGGATTGGATTTTGGAAGGAGGTGAGAACTCTAAACAGGAGCAATACATAGAGGGAGTCTCTGGAGCTGATAACATCGCTGAGTTGTGGAATTATTTCATTGTGTTAAAAGTGACCCATATAAAGTGGGTAATGTTGCCAACAGGGATGCAGTAGGAATCAACCATTGAGGTATCTGAAGCTATTGAACAATTATCTGTAAATAAAGTAAGTGGCTCAGATCAGATCACCTGAAGTTTTCATTCCCCAAAGAGGCCGCTCTACTTGTCATGTGTTTCACTGGCTTTATGACACATGGGCTGATGCTCGACTCCATGTTGGCTGTAACTCTTGTGCCTGTCATTACTACAACATCGACCAATCAGAACCAAGAACCAATCGCACTGGCAAGTGTGATTTCCAAAGTTCTGGAGAGTATTCTTTTAGATCGATTGGGTGATTATATTAATACCAGAGACAATCAGTTTGGTTTCAAACAGAAGCATGGCACTGAGTTGTGTATCTGTTCTAATTGGCGTTGATTGATGCCTCTAAGGCATTTGATCGAGTCAATCACCAGAAGCTTTTAAAAAAAATTAAATCCTAAGGGTGTACCTGCTAGCATTATAAGAATACTTGCATACTGGTATGCTAACCAGAGTATACAAGTCAGATGGGGCAGTAGTGTCTCTGGTCCCTTCAGGGTTGGTAATGGAGTTCAACAAGGGGGGCTACTGTCACCAGCCCTCTTCAACCTGTATATGAACGGTTTATCTGAACAGCTGAACGGCTGTAGAACGGGCTGTATGATTGGCAACACTGTGATAAACCATCTAATGTATGCGGATGATTTGACCATTTTCTCTCCCAGTAGTGCTGGCTTTCAGCAGCTGTTAACATGATGTGCAATATAACTCAGATAAGAGCAGTGTGATGATATGTAGGGCAAAGGGAGATAAGGACCTCCACTTTCCACAGTTTTATCTTTCTGGGGAAGAACTTTGTGTTTGTTATAAAGCCAAATACCTGGGACACTTTACAACAGATCAAATGTCTGACGCTGACGACATGTTTCGACAGTGTGGTACATTATATGCCCAGGCCAATATGTTCTGATCATGTAAAGATATGTCTCTTTAGAGCATATTGCACTCTCCTGTATACTGCCCCCTTATGGGGTAAGTTCAAAAAATCAAGTATGCACAGACTTCAGGTTGCTTACAATGATTGTTTTAGGATCTTAAAAAGCCAAGATGGAGGAGTGCAGGTGAGCTATTTGTGAATGCAGGAGTTAACACCTTACACGCTTTATTAAGGAACCTGATGTACAGATTTAAGAATGTAATTATAATGCTGCTGTTGAACCCAAGTTATAGTGCAGTACGCTACCAGTCATCCCTTTGGAGACGTTGGTATAAGAGGCAGAATGTTTTTATTCTCATGTATATGTGTGTTGTCTATTTTTTGTATTGTATGTCTTTTAAAATGGACCATGAGTCTAATAATAAAAGTTGATGATGATGATGTATCTGTTTCTGTTTTCAGCTCAGAGAGAAGATGGATTTCTTATCAGGGGAGAAGCTCTGCTGCCTGGTCTGTCAGGACATCTACAGAGATCCTGTAGTTCTGACGTGCAGCCACAGCTTCTGCAGAGACTGTCAGCAGAGCTGGTGGAGACAGAAGAAAACACGCGAGTGTCCCATTTGTAAAACGATATCTTCAAACAAAAAACCGCCTGTAAGTCTGGTCCTGAAGAACCTGTGTGAGGCCTTCTTACTGGAGAGAGACCAGAGGATGTCAGAGGACTTCTGCAGTCTGCACAGTGAGAAGTTCAAACTCTTCTGTCTGGACCATCAGGAGCCCGTGTGTCTCGTCTGCAGAGATTCAGAAAAACACTCCGAGCACAGACTCAAACCCATCGAAGAGATTGCGCAACAACACAAAAAGAAACTTCAGGAAGCTCTGGAGCCCTTAAAGGAGAAGCTGAAGGATTCTGAACGAGTTAATGGGAATTTTGATCAAACAGCAGATCACATTCGGGTCCAGGCCCGACACACAGAGAGGCAGATTAAGAAGCAGTTTAAGAAGCTTCACCAGTTTCTAGAAGAGGAAGAGGAGGCCAGGCTGTGTGCACTGAGGGAGGAAGAGGAGCAGAAGAGTCAGAGGATGAAGGAGGAGATGGAGGCTCTGAGCAGAGAGATAGCAGCTCTTTCACACACAGTCAGAGACACAGAGGACGAGCTGAGAGCTGAAGACGTCTCATTCCTGAAAAACTACAAGGCTGCAGTGGAAAGAGTCCAGCAGCGCCCCCTGCTGGAGGATCCACAGCTGCCCTCAGGAGCTCTGATAGAGCAGGCCAAACACCTGGGCAATCTGAGCTTCAACATCTGGAACAAGATGAAGGACATGGTCTCCTACAGTCCGGTCATTCTGGACCCAAACACAGCTGGTACTAGACTCACTCTGTCTGAAGATCTGACCTCTGTGAGACGAGAAGATACGCAGCAGCTTCCTGATAATCCAGAGCGGTTTAAACACGTTCGCTGTGCTGTCCTGGGCTCTGAGGGATTTAACTCAGGGACTCACAGCTGGGACGTGGAGGTCGGAGACAGTAGGTACTGGATTCTGGGTGTGTTAGCGGAGTCGGACCAGTGGAAGGAGAACACTGAGTCTGGATTTTGGAGAATAGAGTGTCTTGGAGGTATTCACTCGGCTCGCTCACCGTCGGCTCCTCCCACTCATCTGGTGGTCCAGCAGCAGCTCCAGAGGATCAGAGTGAATCTGGACGGGGACAGAGGAGAGCTGTCGTTCTCTGATCCTGATACTAACACACACATACACACCTTCACACACACCTTCACTGAGACGATGTTTCCATACTTCAGCATCGTGGATAAACTCCCACTGAAGATGTTACCACTGAAGGTCTGAAAGATGTCTGTGTGTATTTGAATACTTTAACATGTAAACTACGAGTTCAGATATCATCAGCATCAAACTGAATCAGAAGCCGGCAGGTTCCTGTTCACTTGATTAATATGTCAACGCGGCCGCCATGTTGGTGAAGGGAGCTGCGCCTCCACATGAAGTTTAGACTCTGACAGCAGGAGGTCCACCATCAATTAAAAATATTAAATGTGTGAGTCACTGTTTGTTTGTTCTTGCTGGAAAACAATGGTCTGCTCCCTCCAGGTGAGGAGTGAGTCTTTGCCTCAAGTCAAGGAGTTTAAGTATCTTGGGGTCCTGTTCACAGTGAGGGGAATGATGCATTCAAGTGCTGCTCGGTTTCCGAGTTATCGGCTGTTTTGAAAACTGCGTACAACATACTACTATCTAAATCAGTATGCAGTATATACTACATACTACTATCTAAATCAGTATGCAGTATATACTACATACTACTATCTAAATCAGTATGCAGTATATACTACACACTACTATCTAAATCAGTATACAGTATATACTACATACTACTATCTAATGATTGGTATGCTATTAACGTTGTAGAATACTTTTCAGACATTCAGGTTGAACTCAGCTGTGAGTAATATGAAGAGCAGGCTGAGGACCCTGTAGCTGCAGCTGCTGGTCCAGCTGTGAGTAATATGAAGAGCAGGCCGAGGACCCTGTAGCTGCAGCTGCTGGTCCAGCTGTGAGTAATATGAAGAGCAGGCCGAGGACCCTGTAGCTGCAGCTGCTGGTCCAGCTGTGAGTAATATGAAGAGCAGGCCGAGGACCCTGTAGCTGCAGCTGCTGGTCCAGCTGTGAGTAATATGAAGAGCAGGCCGAGGACCCTGTAGCTGCAGCTGCTGGTCCAGCTGTGAGTAATATGAAGAGCAGGCCGAGGACCATGTAGCTGCAGCTGCTGGTCCAGCTGTGAGTAATATGAAGAGCAGGCCGAGGACCCTGTAGCTGCAGCTGCTGGTCCAGCTGTGAATAATATGAAGAGCAGGCCGAGGACCCTGTAGCTGCAGCTGCTGGTCCAGCTGTGAATAATATGAAGAGCAGGCCGAGGACCCTGTAGCTGCAGCTGCTGGTCCAGCTGTGAATAATATGAAGAGCAGGCCGAGGACCCTGTAGCTGCAGCTGCTGGTCCAGCTGTGAATAATATGAAGAGCAGGCCGAGGACCCTGTAGCTGCAGCTGCTGGTCCAGCTGTGAGTAATATGAAGAGCAGGCCGAGGACCCTGTAGCTGCAGCTGCTGGTCCAGCTGTGAGTAATATGAAGAGCAGGCCGAGGACCCTGTAGCTGCAGCTGCTGGTCCAGCTGTGACACATTCACTGTACAGTCTACAAAGCAGGAAAATAAATATATGAACATGTCATATTTGTTATTGGTTCATAATGTGGCAAGATATTCAGTCACCACCACCGACGAGTTCAAACAGCTGCGCTCCCGCAATTTGACCTCTGACCTGGCGCTTTGCATTGTGGGAAACAGTACGCGAGGTAGACTGGTCCGATGCATACTGTACATTTTTCCTGAGTCAGTATGACATCCTGGTATTTTTGGCATACTGCAGATCTTGCAGTTGTTTGCATACTGCATTTTGGCCAAATCAGTACGTACTAGTAGTATAGTATGTGGTTTTCTTCTGAATGTTGAATGTTGTAACAACAGCTACGAAGAAGCAGATCAGTTAAATGTAGCCTAACTGTTAAAAGTGATATTTGAGTTAAAAGTTGATGAATTAATAATGTTAACATTAATTAAACATATTTAGCTGCTCATTTGATGACGATTCTGACGTCAAGCCAGACATCTGATCAGGATCCTCCTGGACGCCTCCCTTTGGAGGTTCTCTGGGCACGTCCACCAGGGAGGAGACCCTGGGGTAGACCCCGAGTTCACTGGAGGGATTATATATCCCGTATGGCCTGGGACCATTACTCTGAAATATTCTTTTTTATTTCCCCCTCTATTACTCTTATTGATCTGTGTTGGTCAATTGAATTTAAGTCTTACTTATTGCTTTTAATAATTTAAAAAAACAATCTGAAGTGTTTTATCTACAATTTTTTATAAATTAATTATCAATTAGAAATTTTTAAAAAAGGAGTAAAAATGATTCAAGCAGAGTAGATCATGAAGCAGCTCAAGGGAGATAAGACATTTTAAAAACAGAGAAAAACAAAAGTCAGATATTAGTAAAGGACACAAAGGAGAGAAAGGTTTGAAGAAAAGATGAAAGATGAGATTGATGATGAGACAGAGGTCAGTATTCAGAGTTCTTCCTGCAGGTGATATATTCAGTATGAAACACAGAGCTTTACTTCAGAAACAGAACTGAGCCTTTGACCTTTGACCTCAGAGTTCTTCCTCCAGGTGATATATTCAGTATGAAACAGAGATCTACAAACAGAACACGATCATGTTTCATTCTAACTGTCCTTTAGCTTACATTGACTGAAAAGATCTGAAATAGCTCAGTTAGCTCAGTGTTGATATTAAAATAACAGTTCTGTTTTTGACCACCAGAGGTCAGCAGTGCACAAGATTCAGAGACTTTGATTTAAGTAAAATCTTTTTATTCATCATTTTTAAAAAGGGAACACACATCACACACACGCAAGCATAATATCAGTAACACACAAATAAAACGTTCATCACATTGTATTTGACTTCAGCTGCAAAATATTCACTCATTTATTTACAGCATAAACTGAAGTTTTATGGTTTTAAATCCACATGTTGGTTGCACGCACGCACGGACCGGAGTGATGTGATCACATTTTGTCATACGGGGTCAGGACTCTGGCTGCTGAATGTTGAATAAGTTGTAGTCTTCCTACAGATTGTTTTGATGCATATAGAGCGTTACAGTCACCTCACCTGGTTGAGATGACTCATTTCTCAGCGTCAGTTTGGGATATGAAGGATCAGAGTTTTGATATGTTCTTCAAATGTTAAAATGCTGTTCTGGTAATGTTGGAGATATGACTGTCAAAGCTAAGGTCAGAATCCAAAATGATGCAAAGATTTCTGGCCTGCTCGTTGTATTTCATGGTCATGGATTTGAGGTGAAGATGGATGTGCTGATATTTCTGTCCTGTCTGCGTTGAGTTTGATATATTTTCTGCAGTCTGTTAGTTTGTTTATAGGACTGAGATCTTCAGATGAGAGAGAGATGTACAGCTGTGTGTCGTCAGCGAGATATGTTGTGTTTCTGGATGATTGTACCAAGTGGAAGCATGTATAGATTAAAAAGTAATGGCCAGATTAGAACGGCTGACCCTTGTGGGACCCCAGAGATCATTTTGGTTTCTTTAGATTTACAGATGCCAATAGAAATGTAAAACGTCTTGCCGGCAGCCCGGTAATCAGCAGTCAAGATCGTGAGGATTAACAAGGTAGGACAATACAAGCTGGTATAAGCTCATACCGACCAGGAGGATAGAAAGAGGGAGAGTGTGTGGGTGCGCATCATACATATAAAGTGCAGAGGGGGACTTTGCACCCACAGGTGTGTCGATTTGGTTCAATGCTCATATTACAGCGTAACAGGTTCACATATCAACAGTGTGTCAGAATGGACCAGAACAGGATCCTGAAGATGATTCACTCTGCAGGAGTTAAATCTGACCGACCTCAATCTGAGGAGAAAAGAAGTTTAGTTTAAATCAAACATTTAGTAAATCTGTCAAAAGTCAGATCTCAGTCAGTCAGTGAACATTTGATCAAAGCTCTGCTGGCTCACCTTTGAATGTTTGGAGTCATTTGACTTCAGATTCTGCTGAGATGATTGTCCTGAATTCACACCTTCCTGTACGGGAAACATTAATAAGAGAGACTTTATTAAATCATTGAACATAAAACAGATCGAGAGTAAAGAGAGTTTAAAACATACCAGGTAGGAGGGTCCTGAATGTCTTCTTTTTCCTGGAATAAAACATCAAATGAATGATGAGACAGACCATAATATCTATAAAATAAACATGATCATGTTTCATTGTCACAGTGGAAACCTTACTGCTTTTTTTTTGTTGGATCATGTTCCAAACGAGATAACACACGATGGCTAAAGAAAACGCAACACCACAGATAATCAGTGCATTCCTGTCTGACACTTCTCCTCCACACTGAGCGTCCTCTGTCTCAGTTCCTGCTCTCAGCAGCAGACCCTCTGATTCACATCTGTAATGATAGAGGGACAGTTATTACAGGAACATCTGGAGAGTCCATGTGTGATGTGAAGCTTCACTCACTGTTTGTGATTCTGACAGGATGTAAACGTCCCGTCTGAAAATGTTCCATCAGAGCAGGTCGAGCACACGGTGTCTGTGGAGGAAGTTCCTGCAGGAAACACAGAACACATGAGACTATTTCACAGAGGTTGTTTTAGACATGAACACAGTCCCTCTATCAGAGCTGCAGTAAGAACCAGGTTAGCATATCTTAGCATAAAGACTGGAGTCAAGAAGCTCCCTAACTAAGCTC